TGCCTCTGTGTCGCTGGAGTTACACACCGTGACAATGCTGTTCTTCATTTTCTGTGTGACTTCATCTCGCCTGCCGCTGTTTGGTGGGAATAGCTGCAGCAGCCTGTGGAGAGAAAATATATAGCCACGGCAACTGGTTAATCACTCACATGTAGCTTGCAGCCAAATAACAAAGAAGTGAGCTGCATTCTGGGTATTTATTCTTCCTTCTGGAATGCAGGATTCCATCCTGGAATCCAGTCATTAAGAATTTTGCTTTATTTTTTCATGACAAATTCACATACACACAATTGCAAATACACACGCAGTAGCAAACACTGTCATGTCTCATATGCATGACCCTAGACAGGAGAGCTGCTCAGTGAGACAGCCTGTCAGCAGCTTTGCAATGTGCCCTGCTTGTCTCCCTTCACTGGATGGCCACCATGTGCCTCAGGTCTCCCCTGCTCATCTATATCCACAACAATTTCCAGCCAGGCTGGAATAGTGCTTTCATGTGACAGATTTTATGCTCTTTGTCAGCACTCCTGAAGTTTCATGTCTTATTGTCATGAACTCCAGTGTGGCTTCTTTTCATTTTGTACATACACACTGAGACCAACAGCAATTCTTGCAGGTGCAGCATTTGCAATATATGGCCAATTAATTCATTCTGATAAAAAAAAAAACGATTTTATGTATTGCTAAACAGAAAAGGGCATCATTGCAAGAACTTTTTTCAAGTGTCCCTTTACTATGCATGCTTAATTATGAGGTTTTTTTTCTCTTCCTCTTACATAATCTTTATAGCAAATCAATTGCAAAGACAGCATGTCAGCTTAAAACAAAATACCTTCTTAATCTTATCCTCATGCAAACAGTGCTTTTATCATCTGGATACCCGGCAGCTATTAGCAAGCTGCTATTAGAAGTCTTTAAACAGAAAATGGATTGGATATTATATTATGTTATGTTATGTTATGTTATGTTATATTATATTATATTATATTATATTATATTATATT